ACGGTTGATCGCTGGTGGTGGCAGAAATTCAATGCGATCGGATCAAACAATTAAGCTAAACTCAAGCTATTGTGCCCCAAACATATCCCCCTCCCTATCAAAGAGAGTAAGGCCCTCGTATTTTGGGCTTGTGTAATGATGGGACCTCCATAAGCGATAAGAGTGAGAAATAAATGTTTAATGTCAAGAGGAATGAAATCCTTGATCGTGCCCTATCGGCCACTATTCCCATCAGAACTTTCCCCAATATAATACCCCTTCTATTCTTCCCCTCCTCCCCCTTCTTCCTTGATTATTATTTCTGCATTACTTGGCCCTCTATATCTTCTGTCACTATCCCCTCTAGCCATTCCTCCCGCCCCATAATCACCTCTCCAAGCCCCTCTGGCTCTGTACGCCGTTGCTCTGTGCTCCTGTCCCCTATGTTCCTTCTCGCAATATTCGCTCCTGCTCCTTCGTACAAAGTGGATAGCCTGCCCGGTTGTAGATCATCCTGGATCATAACATTCTGGGTGGTGATGTGATAGAAGCGGCTGTTCATAATAATCGTGCTAATCATCCGGCATTAGCTACCATCCAAGCAAAGGAGCCTCGAGAGGATACTGTTAGTGGGTTCTTACCGGGCGTCTCGCTCTGCAATAGGCAACTGTGAAGCTATTAGTACATATGGAAGAAACACCTGAGGGAGCCACGGCCCTGCGCGAGCTGGAGTCGGATCCGATTAACTTACCAGAGGATTTATGGGCCGCAAGATCCCGCTGGCGAGGAGTAATTGTGCCAGAGAGATAAGCGCTGCTACTGCCACAACGGCGACTATAACGATATCTGGGGTTCCGAACCCGTTTCCCTGTTGTTCGGCAGCTGGAGCGGTCATTTTTTCGTCTGGCCCGATATCTGCACGACACACTGTGGATGCTGCAGCGCCTGCAGGAGATGTGGGCTTCGGATTGGATCGCTCGGTCCAGGGACTCGGATTTATGGAAAATCTACTGCAGGTCCCCTCATCGCTACCGCTGCGGTATGCAGCTCCGCCTTCGGCTTCCTATTCAGGAAAGCTAAAAATATGATACAGCTCCACAGGGAAAGTCAAAATCTGGAACGCTATGCGCTCCCTGAGATTGGAGCGTCACACGCGTGCTGAGGCGGCCCTGCCCGTGGGATGACGCATCGTGGCCGGTGCCCCGCTGCGACTCCAAATTTCCACTCCGAGCCCCGTAGTTGAAAGACAAAAGACCCGCCGAACGCATAAATGATGGAGTGGGCGATGCAAATCGAAAGCTGGTTTAGTGTTCCAGCATTATATATGCTAGCACGTTTCCTTTGAAACTCAAATTCTCTCCGGAGATAGCCACCGACGTTATTGGTTTTGCCGCTTATGCACTGGGCAAACACCCGGAATACCACCGAGTAGTCGAGCCACAAGGTTTATTTGCCCTACGCAGCCGCAATACCTCTGGATCCAGGAGAGGTTGTTTTTACTTCCGATAACGGGATCCACTTGTTGATTGCCTCTCGGGCAACCGGCAGCTCCCAAAACTTGTGTGATGTCCAGAATTTGATGGGCTAGGAGCAAAACAAAAGGTGAGTTGTTCGGGTGGACCGAGTGACCGGTCAGCCGGTCACTTGTATGAGAGTACCGGTACCAGTACGAGTACAGTGCGAGAACGGATGGATAATCATGGAACAGAGTCACACGGAAATTGTGGGAGTGTGTGGAGGAATGTGGCAGACGTGGAGGAAGAGAGAGGGAAGTGTGGTGGACCGTGGAAAGGTCGGAGAGTTATGATTCCCGTGACAGCTGAGAGAAAGCTTTTATTTTAATTTTTGAGCTCCGTCACACCCAAACGAGAGGGGAGAAGCGGGGTAAGCATGGCGGATCCCGGATTAGGTGGACTTGGCAATAGGATGCGATACCGAAGCGTGTCTCAGATCCTCGGTAAGTTGTCGACTTCGGATCTCCAAGGATTGCAGGAAAAGTGCAGAAATCGGAGAAGGAAGGGCAGAGAGAGGTTCGGTGCATCCGTGTCGACGCAGGTGAACCGGCAGAACATGGCGGAGGCCTACGGGAGGCCACCCGGGTGGGCTACCCAGGAAAATGGGATAGCTTCTGCAGGACCTGTTGACAAATCTGGAGAGCGTCATGATATATCACTCGGACGGTTGCAGGATCCGAACGATGAGCCACCATCCGAAACTATCCGGAACGGTGGGGGTAACCCTAGGGTAGACTTGCCAGGCACCATTGACCGATAGTCGTGAAGAAAGCTACGGATTTTGGAGCTCGTACATCTTTGCCGGGAATGTCTGCCCTAGCCGACATTTTGCAGGGTTCTCCAAAAAATGTTCGGCTTACCGAGGCTCTTGGCGAAGACGCGTGAGCGTTGTTGATTACCAAAACGAACTTGACCATTTTCGTCAGCCCACGAATCTTCTCAATCCTTGAGCGCGAGGAGTTCACCAGAAACTTTGGAGAATTTCCGACTCTGAAGGCAATCGCGAAATCAAGCATAAGTAATAGGAGTCGGGTGGGGGACGGGTTTGTATCATCCTCTGCCTGTAACCCAAGGAAGCAGAACTCAGCTCAGCTCATCAGACCGGATTACCACAGCTTTGTGTGAACCTCTCCGGTGCGGTGAGCGCCAAAGGCTGCAAGCGAGGGTGAGATCGCTTGGGCTTGACGTGAGTCTAGACCGCCCGCACTGCACAACGCTCGCGCGAGTTTGATACAAGATGGGAGGTATCGTGAAAACTCGAATAATTGGACCATATGCTGCGAAGTGGGAAATTCCCTTTTACAGAGATGGGGCAAAAAACACGGCAAAAACACCGCCGCTTTCCTTCCTCCCGCCCAATACTTGTACAGAAAAAAAAAACAATTTGTCGACCTTACTCAGAGGGGAAGGCCTAATGAACTGGTGTACCACGCGGTCCAATTATTCGAGCCCCCCACCATGGGATTACCCGGAATCAACCCTTAAGGCTGGAGATGCCTTTTTCTGCTACTCTACGATACCTCCCATGCGTGATTCACCCTAATTCACCGTATACGGTACGAATTGTGTAAGGCGCAGAAGCGTATTATGGTATTCGAACACTAGGTGGTCGGTACTGCGTCAGTACGGGTCCTTTGTATTCGAGTGCAGTACTCGAGATAAGCGAGCTGCAGAAGAAACCCCAAGCTTCTTCGTCTGATCTCTGAGCTACTCCGGCGGATTACTTTTTGAATTTTTTTTCCACCCGCGGCATTAGGTAATGATACTGTACCCTCCAAGACCCTCAAACTCAGGCTTTGTGTGGCCTAGGATACGAGATTGTCGGTACTGGCACCTCCGGAATGGCCAACTGCCGGCAGAGCTGGTTTCGGGGGTGTTTGGCACACTATGATTTCAGACAGTCATGATTTGGAATCATGATTTGGAGTAGACCTAGTCAGGATATATGGACGCAGGGTGCAATTCCCGAGCTATAAATGATATGGTGGGGGAGGTTCTTACTTATCATACTATTGAATTAATGTTTATCGCTGTATCACAAATCCAAATATCCCTGCCCTAAATTCTAGACCTTTTGGAGCATACTTGAAAATTTTCAAAAGTCATTGTTTAAAGGGTTCTCAAATCATGATGAGGAAACAGTCGAGCCAAACACTATGAATATCCGGAACCATGATTTGAGGGAGTGACTGGCTCAAATCACAGAGATCCAAACGCCCCCTTACACTCTTCCCTTCCCTTCCCCCACCGAGGGCAAACTTCACTTTCAGGCTGATAACACCTGTTCAGGAGTTTCCCGATGCCGGGTAATGTGCTGCGATTGTGTCGGTTAGCATGGCACATGGGAGCAATGGGCTGAGAGGGAGAAAGGGGGGCTGCGCGCGGCCATTAGCGATATTTTCCCGGCCCAGCTCCATGGCCGGCGTTGATTGCTCCCAGGTCGAAGCTACGTAGAGCAATGTGCTCTACTTCAGCCGTATTGGGTCGATGCAAACAATTGTCCCCCGCGAGCCTTTTGGCCATGGTTTAGCACTTCAGCACCTCCCTACCCCATGCCAAACGGCAGTGGTAGAAATGGAAATGACCGGGTTTGTGGTGTGCCCGCAGTCTTGGGACTAGCCAGCTTGATGGTTGCGTTCGGGTGGCTTTATTCCATATATTCTCCTCTGGGGTGGGGTTTCAACCCCCGGATTTCGGGCCGTTCTCGCGGTTTCCAATCCTCCCCGGTAATGACGGTTCGGTGACGGGTGGGACACTTCTACGCTCCCAGGAGCTGCCGTGCAGGACCACCAAAGATAACGGCTTTCCGGCCCCCAAAATCCCAGGAATTGTCTGTTTCTGGAAGAGGCCCCTGAACGATACTTCTTGGGGTAATTGGGTTCACCTTACGACAGATCCTGGGATGGGAGAAGCATGATGGTTAGGGGGATTTAGCGAGGGTTTTGTACAAAGATTCCAAGTAATTTATTGGAATTGTATGACTTCCCTTAGGTATGCATGGTTCTCTAAATGTCCTGCTGTCGATCCATCGACAACACGGGGAGCAAGGTTATTCCCATAAGCCTAAATTCAATGGAGGAGTATTTTTTTGGCAAACAGAGCCAAACTTGATTCCCCCAACCCTCCGTTGTGGTGTTTTGGCCTCGGATGTGTCCAGCCGAGCATTAGAGAATCTGTTCCAAACCCCTACAGGAAGCCATTCACTACCGTATTCCTTTTCTTTTCTTTTTCTTTTCACAAATTTTTTTTTTGAAAGCAAAAGCTTCTATGGTTTTGGCTTTTTTTTTTTTTGAGGCGCCCAATCGAATGCTTGTCTCGCATGGGATGCAGGGAGAAGAGAGTCTTCGCATCCATTGACTACCCTACCGTGCCCACCCAAACTAGGGTGTAAACTCTCACGACCGCTGCTACGGGAACACTTGTCGCTGGGCCTTTTGTCCCTTCGTCTCTGATTTAGACTACACCTCCCCAAAGTAGAGGGCGGAAAACAAAAAATAGAATAAAAAGCGCATCTCATTCCCAGTTCAGTTTAAAGCTTCGTGACCCCCGCGGGATGCAGGTACCCCGTCGCTGCAGGATTCATCCCCTCTGCATCCACACCCCCCGTACCCCCGTCCGGTGCTTTCCTCAGCCGACCCGTGAAAAAAACCGGGTGACGCACAGCCGGGTCGTGATTGTGCCTTCTCTGCTCGAGTGGCAGGGAGATGTGCGGCTTGCTCTATTGACAATATTAGGAGGCGAATTCGTGCGCTCCGGAATTGGGAAGGGGACCAACTGTAGTAGAGGCTCTAGGACGCTTCGGCTGGAGTGAGGGTAGCATTTTGGTAATCTGTGGTTGTGCTGTACTGTAAGGTAGAGCAGGTTGAGGGAACAAGTGGGAACAAGTGGGAACAGGTTTGCCTGATTCGAGCGTTGATGGTTGCTCGCTCCTCACGCGCAACATAGACCTCGGCTATCGTGCCATTGCTCATGGTCGAGTTAAGCTTCGCGTCAATCAACGCAGGGACGCCAAGGGGCCAGGGTTTGTGTTAATCACCATAGGCCAAGCCTTCCATCCATCCACTATGATACGAGCACTCTCATCCAAAAAACCACTCCACACTCCCCATCATACCCCGCCATTAACCAGGGCTGAAAACCAGAATGCCCCGCACCCCTCTAATCTCGATAACTTCCACCTCCTTCCGCCCCATAACCTCCTCTCCGCTCACCGCGCCAACCCTCTTCCCCAACACAACATTTGCCCTCCACCCCGCGCAGAAATGGTCGATCCTTGGGTCGTCGAAATCAATTCTTCTATCCATTCTCTGCGGCAGTCACGTTGCTATCCCACCGAACGGTCGACGGTATCCCGGCCTGCAGGGCACCATCGAACTCGTCTCTTTTGGCGCTGGGAGCGCAAGTACTGGGATGCTACCTGGAGCTAACCGCATGGAAACCCACTTGTCTGCGCGGTACGAGGCTTGGAGGGAGGAATTCGATGTTTCCTTAAGGGACTGGCTGGGAGAAAGCATAGCCGGGAGTAATCCTTTTGAGGAGGGGGGGGAGGTGAAGGGAGAGGAAGCACTACGGGAAAGGGAAAAAAAAGTGGAGGATGTCGCGGGGGACCTGATGTTGCGGGAACTTCTGGATCAAAGTGTTATGACGTTGAGTAATGGGCAGAGCCGGCGGGCGAGAATTGCACAAGCGTTGCTGAAAAGGCCTGAGGTGTTGGCTGTTGATGAACCGTTCAGTATGGCTCCGTATGGATGCGTAAGCCAGCGAGCGCTGATAATGAACACGTGAAACAGTGGGCCTTGATCCTCCGTCGCACAATTTGCTATCAGAACTACTTTCCCGTCTTCCACATTCCCCACAGCCGACACAGGTACTGCTCGGGCTACGCCCGCAAGATCCCGTGCCAGCCTGGAGCACACACATAGCATACATATCCAACCACCGTATCCTCGCGCAGGGTCAAAAAGAATCCGTCATTCCAACCCTCCGTCAATCTGGAATGACAATCCTGCACGAAGGCGATGGCGCCCAAAAGCCCGCCCCAACCCTTCTCGACAAAGTCTGGTCCATCCCCTCCCTCCCGGCATCTACGTCACAAAAACCAACCCCACCGCCGTCAGAATCTACCTCCAGCCCAATTCTGGTTCAAATGAGCAACATAAAAATAACCTACCCTCCACACCCTCCCCTCCTCCAAAACTTCTCCTGGACAATCCGAGCCGGCGAGCGCTGGGGCCTCTTTGGTCCCAACGGGTCGGGGAAGACCACATTGATATCCCTCCTAACCTCCGATCACCCGCAAACCTACGCCCTACCAATAGCACACTTTGGCCACCCAACCCGCCTCCCGGAGCGCGGAAAGGCAGGCGTCAGTGTCTTCGACATACAAAAACGGATCGGTCATGCATCCCCAGAAGTCCACGCCTTCTTCCCGAAGGCGTACACCCTCCGGCGCACCGTCCTCTCCGGCCTCGCAGAGACCTTCCACGCAAAGCCCCCACCAGCAACAGAATATGTCGAGGCGCTGCTGGCCGAATTCGAAGACACGGTGGCTGGCGTGGGCGGTTGGGACGATGCCATCTTTGGCGAAGCGGGTTTGGGTGTCCAGCGGCTCGCCCTGTTCCTGCGCGCTGTGGCGGGTAAGCGCGATTTGATCGTCCTTGACGAGGCTTTTTCCGGCATGGATAGCGTGGTTCGGAATCGCTGTTTACGGGTTCTCGCGGATGGATTCGATCGCACGCGCCAAGCGCTCGTGGTTGTTGGCCATGTCGGTGAGGAGGTGCCCGAGGTGGATATGTGGGTCAGGTTGCCGGAGAGGGGGGGTGATGCTTGCGCGGTGTTTGGAGATGCGTAGAGCGATATATATTTTAACTTGGGAGAGGTTCAACCTGAGTGTCTGGTCATGGGATATCACTCGGGGTCATAATTGATTACAGCTTCTGAAAATGTACTTTAGTTTCGAAGGGCCTCGGAGGACGGGGGGTTGGAGGTCAAATACGTAGTGGTAAAGGTGCCGCTAGCGTTCGTTCACAGCTTGGGGTTTTTTTTTTCGTCACTGGGGGTCAATTATATAGATAGATGGATAGATAAAATATTGTTTTGTGGTATCACGGATCCAGTCAACAGCAGGTCAACGATGCTTTACTCCACGCGCGATTGGGGATCATGTGAGACACAACGTGATACCACCAAAGGGATAAGTCCGGTTCCCACCTCCCCCTCCCCCTCTGCCTGAAAAGGAGTTGGAAAAATCGTAGATATAGGAGATATATCATGGCAGATCGGAAAATTGAAACCTAAAAGCCCAATCATCGGAACAGACGGAACCACCATTTGGACCTGGAGCGGAAAACCCCGCGAAGATGATGCAGCTTGAGGAACACTAGGACTCAAATACCGGTCCTTTACACAGTCATATAAACCCTCCATGGCATGAAGCCCACTTGCCGAATGCCCACCAACGAGACAATTGAGAATGCCTATTCTGCCGCAGGAGACGTGAGTTTGCAGGCTATGATCAATCCCTTTCCAAGCAAGCCAGCAACCAATCGGTGATCATTGAACGGTACTCGATTGCCTGGGGTTTCCCAAGGGCATACAATAGGTTTTCCCACTCCTTCGGCATGAGTAAACACTGCAGACTCGGAGGGAAGATCTCGGAAGTCTAGTTCATGGCCTGTCGGACCGCTCGATCTCATAATTTTGCACAGCCGAGTACTGCGCGTTGCTGTATTGCACGGCCGGGTAGGGCGGTCGAGAGGAATGGCAGAACCTCTGCAACGCCCGGTATCTTCCCAACCGCAGAGCCCACCCCCCCGGGGAGTTCCTAGTAGAATTGGATTCTGTGAACAGACACAGAACTCGTCAAGGGTTTTTGATGCCTGGCTTCTGGGTCTCTGGGCGTAGATGACTTTATGCAGAGGGGGAGATGACTGCTAACTGCTTAGCAGCGCGCCACGGCAAAAGTAGAGGGCAGGTTGAGCCAGCCAGCCAGCAATGCTCAACAACATGTTGTTACTCGCCTATCACATTCCGGAACACCCTGGCTGTGCCAGTTTAAGAGCCCAATTCATGGCGAGGGTGTTCGTTGGAGGCAGAGAGAGAGAGAAAGAGACCCTTGCTTGGGTGCAACACGGACTGATCAATTAACCGTTCCCTGGGGTATGTCGGGATTGGGAATCAAGTGGGCGTAGAAGCGAGAGAGGGAATGAAGTCCTAGGGTTTCCCCAGGCTACAAAATCCTGTTTCTTGCGTTGGCCTGAACTTGTTTATTTGTTTATGATAACACAAACCCCTGCCCAGCGGAGTGTGATATCACTTAGATCATTGGTAACTTAAGGACTAACATGGATTCCTCAATTTGTACTAACCCTTCCGCCAATTGATCCCACCTCATTGCTACGCAAAATCCTATGCTGCGATGTACGAATCTGTGGGCTGGGATTACCGGCGGTAAGATTTTAAGCTTCTCTACCGGAACTTATCTTCGGGGAGAAAGAAGAAGGAATCCGTGGATTCTCTTCCAATCTTGGGGGCTAGATACATTTGGTTTTTTCCGCTGCTTGGGAGGACAGGGAAGGGGAGTATGATATCTCCTTTGTTTAATAGGATTGAAGTATACCGGTATACTGCTCATGCGTAGATATTTTAATCTGATCCAAGGGCCGTTTTTTTTTTGGGGGGGGGGTGGGGGCATTATATAGATCCACACCTTGAGTGCCCCCAGTATGATGCAGGTACACGAGTCGAAAGAAAAAAAAAAAAGTGATGATTGCCTCCGAACCCGAGTGAGTTCCCAATTGCAGCAGAAAGCCAAGTTTTGTTCTTTTTATTAATTCTTACTACGATATCGCCTCCAGTCATGGCAGAACAAGCTTTCCCCTGATTTTCCGGCCAAGATTTTGTCCCTATCTGCATCGTTTAGTGGAGAATGCTGGATCTTGAGTTAATAAGTAATTTAATGTGTCGTTACGCCCAATGGTTTCCAGAGATATCACAGCGCACACCCCGTGTTCTGCGAAGTAGACAGTTGTGCATTCGGCTGCTGGAGTTGTGGGTGCTCTGGTTTCATCCTATTTACTGCCATACCTCGCATGAAGTATGGATGAGGATTTTGCCTATGGCAATTGATATCGCCCTAATACAACTCCCCTCCGTCCCTATTTCACCTAGCGTGCTCAGTCATCTCAAGGTTTGAGTTGCGGTTGCTAGGTGGGGGGAGTGGACTCTACAGTAAGTAGATAAAATTTTCTCAAGTGATCCGTTGATCATGATGGAATGTTCGAAGCTCACCGAGCAACCAATCGTTTCCAGTCATTTCAATACCTGATGCTAAAAAAGATCTCCAGCTTGATAATTCACAAAATTATCATTTTGTACAGAAAAAAAATAGCGCATCCAACCCCCCCTCCCCTTAGAGAAAATGATAGCACGCCTTCACGTCACTGTACACGGTCCCATCAATATCAAATTGAAAAAGCATAGAAGCTGATTGAATACTGATCAATAGGTCAAATCCAAGCCTAAAATAGAATTGGTCGTTGATTCCGATTTTCCTTTTAAACTTCTCAGGGATCACACTGAGGTCCACTTCGAGGGTGCAATAAGGGTATATATCTACAAGATGGGCCAGAATTAGTGGATACCTCCATGAGATGCGGTTTGGATGACTTACCGGATGATCTGCTGGTGCGGGAAGGGTTCGAAGAATCACTTGCCAAAAGTGGAACCGTGATTCTATCGTTGAGCTCGTCAAGCGAACTACGACAGATATAAAATGTGTGTCTAATGGGGTTGTTGTCTTCGACATCCTCGCCCTAAACTGTGTTACAACACAATAACACAAAGGGTGGATAGTGGCTTATTTTTTCACCTTTCTGATAAACCAGTGCATCCGCCTCATACACATGCACTCTCCATCGTGGGGATCGATATAGCCATCTATCTTGGGATGAATCCCCTCTATGAACGGGACGCTGCACGAGTAGCCATAGCTGCTGGTAACCTTGCGAACACGAACCATTTCTCCCTCGAGTCCGCACATCACAGCACCCCGGACCGCAGCACTCCAACTGCCTTCTATTAGTATAGAAGGGCGCGGGGAAGGAGGTGCCCCATTAAGTTAACTTACGCCATAGATGGTTGCAGAATTGATATTTTCCTGTCATCATTTGTCCTGATCTCAGCCTGGAGCCGGCTACGCAGATATTCGGATTCGCCGAATCCCCCAATCAGAACCAAAGATTTGGCTCGGCGCCTCCCGCGAGGAAAAATTATTGAGGAAAATGCATCGGGATATAGCCCCTCATCTGGTAGCGGAGTGATTGCCTGTAAGAAGAGAATTAGCTGCAGTGGTCCACAAAAAGCTCACTGTATCATTTCCTACCACCAATTTCTCAACTTCATCGACCTGTTTTTGTACCAATTCAACGATCTCCTCCACTGTTGGATCGAATATTTCCCTCATCTCCTCTCGATCTATGACAAACATTCCATCCTTTATACCTGCTTCGCTGTCATCTGCTACACCGGGTATGCGGCATGTGAAAATGTCCTCTTCATCAGAATCGGTAAAGTTCCGCTTCAAACAATCATCGAACTCCTTCACCATGTACACTCTTGCTCTGTGGCTCATCTTATCGAATCTGGGAAGCTCTGTTATCCACATGACCCAGGAGAAGGCTCTGGTACTTGCCTGGTGCCAATACGATCTCTGACCAATTTTTCGAAGCATTCGTTCAGGACGGCTGACCCACACATCGCTCCCGCACCTTCAACACATTCCACCGCCTCCAATTTCGGAGCTTTTCTCGTGATGGTATAAGATATGACATTCTGCATTCTATGAGTCACCCCTATATGATACTCTCGGAGCACTCATAGGAAAATATGTATTCTGTACTTACCACCGTCCGACTACCACAATCCGCGACGACGAAAGCATCTCCAACCTAATAACGCTCATTAGTGGCCCCCCTCCATCAAGAATCAAAAAAAAATCAAGAAAATCATCATTTGGGGCGTACATTGAGATTATTAGGCTGCATTTCCTTCAAGCAACAAACTGCTGCTGCCTCCGGCTCTGAAATTAAACGAATGGATTTCTTTCTGCCGAACCCCGCATTCTCGGCCGCTTGGAGGGTAAGGTTCTTTGCTGCATCGCTCCATACCTGTGGGACAAATAAGTTTGACGGGAACCGCAAGCTATCGATGACAACGGACACGTTACCGCAGGAACTATGAAGGTAAAATCGAGGGGTGAGAATTCGACCAAATCTTCTCCGAGGGCCCCCTTCAGATGTTTGATAGTGTGTTTGTATAACTCGGACAGGTAATCAGTCACAACATCGACTAGCTTCTTCCCGGGGGGTATCAAGTGATTTGTCCCCGCTAAGGGTGTATTGGTAGAGGTGGCAAGAGAATATTTCGTAGGATCCAGGAGAAGCTCAAACAAAGCGAGCCTTGGCACTTCATTAGGAATTCCGAATCCCCACTTCACCCCTGACGGCGTGTATGCTATCTCGCTCGGCGCTTTTGCTGATGTCCTGCCTCCCTATAAACACGTAAGGGCTTGGGATCCAATGGAGGATGGTGCATTCAAAATTACCTTGGCGACCCATCTATCAATGACATTGATCTCGTCAGGAGTAGAGGTGAGGGCCTATCGGATTAGTTCCAAAGATTAAAGAGCATGTGCATCAACGGAGCAGCCCAAATTACCCAAGCAACACCAGAATATGTCGTTCCAAGGTCGACCCCGACCTTAATTGAGCTTAAACTTGATAGTTGACTCATCCTATCGTTCAGGCAGTTTCCTGCCAGCGCCGGTAAGTCCAAAAGGTTAAAGTTGGCTTTTATGGAGGGTTTGGAAAAGGGAAAGAGAATAAGCGTCACTCCGGCGGGACAGGCTCTCGTCAGAGTTCCGTATAGAATACTGGGGTAAAGATAACCGGTAGGCCAGCGGAGGCACGGCAGGGTGTGCTTCTCGGTACTGTACAAGTAGTGCAGTAGTTGCCTAGAAAATCAGGCCTACAATGGTACAAGTATTGTTGGTGGATAAAATTAACCGCAGTATCAACAGGCGAAAATCTTCGGCAATGACAATGGTCTCCCCCACCAACCCCACTATTATGAAAACCCCTCCAAAAAATAAAAAAATGTAAATACATAGTAGAAATTATTATTTGGTATACCATCCATCAGCCTTAATGATTGCCTCTATTCTATCCACCATTGATTGACCTTGCCAAAGTATCAAAAATCTTTAGGTCTAGAAGTTTCTAACAATGAGTGATTGCCTTCTCTATTGCCTCTTTGACCTCATTGACAGGAGGACCCATAAGATACAGCTCAGGATAGTGCTTATGAAGCTTATCTTCCACCAGAGACCAAATATTTTCAATTGGATTAAGATTTGGTGAATAGGTAGGAATTTCTATAAGAGTGATTCCCTGCCCTCTGAGCCATCTTGTCACGGCCACCCGGCTATGGAGAAGGAATATGCATGGGACTTCGGTTGCAGTTATCAGCTGTGGTTTTCTTGATTACCATGTAAAGGGTTTCTTTTGAGTTATGATTGGGAAGCGTTGCCGCGCAACGGAACTTGGTGGAACAAGATGGAGACATCGCAGCTGCACCTGTTGCCAAGGATTTTCTTTTGTATTAGTGATCAGGGAGGATTTCTTTTTATATAAGGGGGTGTGCCCCCTTATATTTTATGTTCTTTACGCAATCTGGTAATCTCCTTCGGACACCCTTTCTTACATTCCAAGGATCCACCTAACCTCCATGTCGTCCTTGACTTTATCTCACAATAATTTCAGGTCTTGTTTGGGAAGGAATCTTTACCTTCGCTTACATTTATTAACCTGGTAAGGCTTGGTCCTTACGTTTGTTGCCATTAGGTTCTTCGTTTCCATCGTTCATCGTCTTCGGTCGGTCGGTCGATGTCTAAGGGAGGTTCTTCCCTTTCGGCGGGCAAGGTTGCGGCGGCCTTGTCTTCCCTCTCGGCGTCGGTGGATGAGGCCTCTCTTCTTCGGAAGGAGGTTTCGCGCCTTCACCACCACGTCTCGGTACTGTCTTGTTGACTCCACTTGTCGGAACAGGAGTGTGCGGCCTTGGCTGCAGCTAGGCGTTCGCCCTCCCCTCCGTTCGGCGGGCCAGGGGACATGACGCCGCCTCCCAGCGGGGGGGTGGCTGAAGAAGAGGAGGTGGCTACAGTGCGGCTGCCCATGGTGGTGTCCTTCCCTTCAGGGATGCAGGCGCCTGAGCCATTCGTGGTTGAGCCCGGGGTGGTGGCTGGCCCTGCTGGTGTGGCGTCTGAGGTGCCCGGTGTGTCTTGGTTCGCGGATTTGTTCGTTGGTTCTTCCCCCCCCCCGGCCGGACCGGAACTGCCCTTGTCCCCCCACAATGATGGGTCGGTAATTGATAGATCAGTCACGTCGGACTGCTCGGTGGTTACGGTATTGGTGGATGTTGCTGTGGGTCCGGACCTCCCCCGTGGGTACTTTCCTTGTGGGCATTGGCCTAATAGGGGGAACCTCTATGTGGCTGGGCGGTACAAGACTCGGTTTCTGTCGGCGGCGCCTGTAGGGTGTCGAGCTATGAGCTCGCCTCCCAGTATGAGCAAGGGAGTTAGCATGTCTGACATTCTCAGGTTAAGGCTGTCGGGGCAGCAGGCTAGGAAGCGGGCACTGGTGGAGGAGGTGGGAGTGCAGGGTGGGGTTGGGCATGTTGCTGGCGGGAAGCTGGTTCTTCTGGTGGTCGGTGATGCAAATGGCTTTCGGGGAGGAGTCGGGGCCGGGATTGGGGTGAAACCTCGGAAGCCTTGACAGAGTATGTACCTAGGTTTTCTCTTGCGGCTTGGGATGATGAGGTTTAGCGGGACGGTATTAAGACTAGATTTGATATTTTTGATTTGTTTTTAATTTTGTGATGGTCGCGGGCCGTAACTACCTTCTGCTCGCTTGGTAGGACTAAAGGCTTCGGTCGCTCTGTTCCCATTGGGTTGGTGGTTGGTTTGTCGGTTGGGGCGAGGGAGGCAGGGGTCAATGATGGGTCTTGTACCTAGCTTTCGTGTTTGCTCCTTCGCGGGAGTGTTTGACGGTTGGGACTTGGAGGCTTTTGCGCTTTGTACGGTAGTTGTTATTTGGTGGAGCGCGCCGGTGTATTGTGGGGACCCCGGCCCCAGGCTGTTGCTTTCGAGGACAGTTCCAGTCCGCTTGTGGTCTGCTGGAGGCCTGCCTGCCCTTATGGTAGGTGTATGATGGGATGATCGCTCGACCATAAGCCATGTTATGACGCGGTGAGTATAAATAAAATTAGATATAATTTGGACACCCTTTCTTACGTGCCAGGGAAATATCTTATCCACCACGATACCTTTCTTTGGCCCGATCGGGGTCAAGGTTTTTCTTCATCATCTCCATCCTGGAGTCATCACCCCCACTCATTCTGCAACCTCCTACGCAGCCTGACAGGGCATTGCAGGTTCCGCCATCACCTATCTTTCAGCCTCAAGGCCCCCCCTTGCTTAAACGGCCATGCAGTGGCACCACTACAAGTCTACCACAATACTCACAGGATGACTTTGATAAGCCCAACGGGGCTTTCATAAGCATGTTCGACGAGTTCTTTGAGTCAGAGGGATACACAGCACCAGACACTCTTGGAAAGGCCTTCCCTATTATGATCCACATGATGCAAATTTTGCACGAAGACTACAGGAAGGCGACTGATGGGCTAACCGAGTATATCACTGCCCTTACTGAGGAACTGGACGACCTTCACGCCTCCATCCTATCTCAGCCCGCTCCTACTACTGCCCCACCGGCACCTCCTACTACTGATAGTGCAGAGCAACCCTTTGTCCCTCCCCTACCTCCTATACTTCCCTATACACGACCTCCCTGCCCAGCAGCCGCTCCTTCTTGGGCTACTGTCGCTAGGAGGACAAGGAAGCCCTCTCAGAAACCTGCGAAGCCTGGCCTCAAGCCAGCCGAAACCTCCTCTACCTCGGCTAAACCCCTTACCGACAAGAAAAAGGGCCTCACCATGCGCGAGTGTTGGCTGATCATCAAAAGAGACGCTGCCCCCCTCACCTTTACTTCTGTACAGCTGCGCGACAGGATCAACCAGGCCCTGGCCTCCACTCTTATCCAGTCTGTCTCCTTCTGGGATGAACATGTTACTCTCACTACCATGGATACGGTTAGAGCGACCACTGTCAACAGCAAAGTTGGCACCTTTTTGCACCTCATTCCTGGTGCCTCTACTGTCTACCTTGACACCCCTGCCACCTAGCTTCTGGTACATGGCATCGATACCTCCACCCCTCTGGCATCTCTTGCCCAAGAACTCACCACCTTCAACTCAGGCTTATCTCTTACTGAACAGCCTAGGTGGCTTACCTCAGATATAGCACGCATCGGGAAACTTGCCTCAACCGGTGTTATTTCCATCACTGGACCCAAGGCTCCTTCCTTTGTTGGCAAACACCTTTCGGCCTTTTCCAATACCTACCGTACCGAACGCCGTTTACGCTTCAACAAATACACCCAGGGTGCCAACTGTCACAAGTTGGGCCACCATAGCATCAAATGTATCCTGCCTCCTTCCTGCCACTGGTGCCTCCTTCCTCACTCTACTGGGGATCAATCCTGCCCCACTGCCACCTGTCGCCTTCGCGGCCGTCCCTGCAGCCATACCACACTCAGGTGTGTGAACTGTGATGGCCCACACGAATCCCAATCGCCTGTTTGCCCTTCTTGCCCCCGTCCAGTTACCCAAGAATCTGAGGCCTCGGAGGAACATGAAGAAGAGGTGGACATGGATGACTCTACATAGGTTGGGATACCTATAACGATAATACTCTAGGGGTGTCTCAGGTTGGCTATTATGGTGCAAGGAGTTTGGCTGTCAAGGCCTACCTCGACTGATTGCTTAGGGGAAACTGGCTTCGTACTGCCCCTTTGTCATGGCCCTTATAAGGGACAGTACTAGAACGTTTTCTTGGGTACCGGGTGGGGTTGACTTTGGTGGATTTTTTTTGTTATGATATTATGAGGATTTTAGGTGTGAGGCTGGATCAATGCTGCCAGTGGTAGTGATTTATTTGATTGTGCTGGGATTTCCGTGGCCTGGCTACGTGGAACGGATGGGTGCTGAACTGTTGATGGACCTGTACTTTAGCTTTGGTGTTGGTGCTCGCTCACCGGAGTGGTTAACGGTACGGGAACGGAGGATCGGTATCTTGTATTTAGTTGCCTGTTTTTAGCGGGGGTAGCAGGGCCCCAGTCACAGCGGTGGATCCTGGCCGGCGTTAAGCTCCTGTTGGAGGGGCGCTCGATCATAAGCCATGTTTTGGCACGACGAGTATAAATAAACTTAGATATTATTCAGATGCTCTTTCTTACATTCCAGGGAATTATCTTATCCACCACCATACCTTTCTTTGGCCTGACCGGGGTCAAAGTTTCTCTTCATCACCTCCATCATGGGGTCTTTACCCCCTCTCGTTCCCCAACCTCCTACGCACCCTGACGGGGCTTCGCAGAGTCGCTTATTACCTATCTTTCGGTCTCAGGGTCCCCCCTCGCTTAAACGACCACGCAGTGGTACCACCTCAACTATACGATACCCAGCCCATGCATATGAAGGTTCTAATGGCATCTTCTTAAAGATGTTTGAAGATTTGGCAGAGGCAGCCGGGATTGAAGCACCTCTCAACTTTGGAAAAGCCTTTCCCGTTATACTCCACTTGATGCGAATACTACACGAAGACTACAGGAAGGCGACTGATGGGCTAACCAAGCATATCACCGCCCTTACCGAGGAGTTGGACGCTCTTCGCACCTCCACTCTATCTCAGCCTGCTCATACCACTGCCCCGCCGGCACCTCCTACTGCTGATGCTGCAGAGCAGCCCTCTGTTCCTCCTGTACCTTCTACCCTTCC